TGTGTGTGTGTGTGTGTGTGTGTGTGTGTGTGTGTGTGTGTGTGTGTGTGTGTGTGTCGCTCTCTGTGACTGCTTCACTCATCACTCAGTTGCTGTTTGGCGCAGCAGCACTTTTGGAGCAAGCGCTACTGTCTTCCCACAAGTAGAATGTACGGTCATAATGGCTGTATCTGGACATGAAGTCCCCCAAACACAGCTGCAATGCCCGTACCTTCTATTCGGGGGAAGACAGTAGCGGCCTTGTTGTCTCCCGAACAGCTGTTGTCTTGTGCATGTGGCGGTTCAACTTCCTGACCTTGAACTTGTGGACCCGGTAGACCGGGACCTTGCCAGGTTGGGTCTCTCGTCCTGTGACGTTTCCCGGATATTCGCTGGCCTACCTGGGACAACAAGGCAACAAGGCAGGTTGTCTCTGCTAAGACCGATGGCCAAGCCAAGTGCCAGGTAGGGCTCGCAGCATTCAGTCAGAAAGGTAAGCAGTGTGACGTTTACCGAACGTACGCTGGCCTACCTGGGACCCTGCACTGCTGGCAGGTTGTACGCCGACCAGTAAGGCAACAAGGCAGGTGCGTCGGCGCCAAGGCCGATGGCGTCGCCAGATGGCAGCTAGGGTTCACAGCATTTGAGCAGAAAGGCAAGCAGCAAGGCACCTAGGGCGGCAAACGGTACGTCAACTTGGCAGGCAAACAGCAAGGCAACAAGGCATGCAGACGGGCAGCACGGTAGGTTGAGAGGTGGTAAGGCTGCAAGGCAGTTGGCCAGACTGCATATCAGGTAACAAAGCAACAAAGCAGGCAGGCAGGCGGCAAGCCAAGCGGCAGAGCATTGCTTGGTAGCTTGGCAGGGCAGGCCGGCGTCAAAACGACGTCCAGCAGCGATGGATGGTCGATGAGAAATGCAGTGAAGTACTGAAGCAGGCAGGTAATCAGGTGCCAAGGGAGGCAATAAAGCAGCAGGAGCAAGGCAGGCAGCAAGGCAGCAATACAGCAGGGGCAAGCCAGCCGAACAGCAGGGGCAAGGCAGCAAGACACCAGTGGCAAAGCAGCAAAACAGCAGGGGCAAGGCAGCAAAACACCAGGGGCAAGGCAGCAAGACAGCAGGGGCTAGGGAGCAAGGCAGCAGGGGCAAGGGAGCAAGGCAGCAGGATCAAGCCAGCAAAACAGCAGGGGCCTACTTGCCTCTTGGGCGGTGACTTCCAGGCCGCGCGGCCTCCAGGGAAACATCATTGCAGTACAGGCCCTAGACTCAGGCTACTTGGACTGGTACCGGCATACCTCTAGCCTACCGCTACTGGGCCTCTAAAAATGCCAACTTTTTGTCTTCTTCTGCTCCGCCTCGAGTACCCGACACTTCTACCACTACTTGAGTGGTACCAGCCTACCTGCTACTTGAGTGTATTTCCCGCTGCTCTCAGTGTCACGGGCCTACCTCCGCTACTTGAGTGTTTTTCCCGCTGCAACCCGCAACTTCACGGCCACAGGTAAGCATCGGCACTGCAGGGCCTCCAAACAAACAAGTACCCTTGCGGGTCACACACACGCTCAGTCCGACAAGCACTCAGACGTGCACGCAGACCAGCATGCACGCACACACACACAGACTTAGAAAACTCAGCACAACGTGGGGATCTCGGCAAGGCATACATTCCGGCGGCAAATCCCAGAAATCAGCAGAGTTCTTTCTCAGTCTGTGTTTTGCTGGTCATCACAAAGGATAAAATCGTCAAGGCCTTAATGCCCTCTGGCAATATCAAGAGTCAAGACCTTAATAGCATGGTTCTGGTGCCTGGGGTTATGTCCAGTAGCTCTCTGCAGAAATGTGGCCAGGTTTGGCGGAGTCCGTTAGGGGGACAGTCCTACCCTCGGAGGACCGGTGGGAAGGATGTGGACTTGCCTTGGGAAAGTGTTCGGGTATTCCCCATGGTAATGCCAAGAGGATGATGGAGTAGAGAAGTAGATGTGAAGAGAATGGAAGAGCCTAGAGAAAGGAGAGCAGGCGGAGGTAAGCGATTTTACAGAAGGGAGTCGAAGAGAGGACACACAATCAGACAGAGAGTGATAAAAAAGTTAGATATCGCTGCATTGCGTTTCAAGTTTGCACTCTAGACTGGTATGGTAATGGTAAAAGATGAATTTGATCCGGAAAACTTCGGTGGGCAACTTGGCTTATTGACTGTTTTTATCTCCTGCTGCTCCTCCTTTTCCTCCTCTCGCTTTTCTTCCGCCTCTCTCTTCTTGCGCTTGATTATGCCTCGTCTTACTCTTGTCTGATGGCTGCTTTCTTTCCCTTGTTCCCTGCCCTACACTCTCCTTTTTTCTTCTTTCCTATTCTTGCTTCACTCTTCCAATCTGCCTGTGTCTCTTCCCTCTCCTTCTGTTCTCTGTTCTCTCTACTTCTGCTTTGTCTTCCTTGCTTCATGGTGGTTCCACCCTTGTTTCCTTTTCTTGTCTGATGTGTTCCTCTCTCTCTCTCTCTCTCTCTCTCTCTCTCTCTCTCTCTCTCTCTC